CATTAATTATTTTTACTTCATGTTAATTGATTTTCTAAAAGAAATAAAAGGCAACCCTACCAAATTCGTTCAATATCATCATCCCCTAATGACAAATAATTTCTGAGCCCCCGGATTATTTATGATTAGGGGGGGACGTCGATTATTATTAGGGGAAGGGATTACATCTGCCAGAAATGATGTTTTGATAGTACGACGAGTTTCGATTATGAACAAGCGGTCACGCCTCGACCTTTTGCCGGGATGTTGTCAGCCTTTAGCCCGCAATCCTCAGCCCTGATAGATGATTCCTGAACTTGAACTGCAATCACGAATCATTCAACTCTAGAACCCTCGTGCAGGACGCAAAACATCATCAACATCAGGCCTGGGAGGAGCTGCCATGCTCTTTTAAGGTTTAGGGGTTTAGGGTTTGGGGTCATGAAACTTCATGCTTTGGGAAGGCTGCTGAGGGCAGATGAGTCGCCTTCTTCCTCTGGGCAGTAAAGTTTTCGTAGGTTTGGCTTTATTGTGTCACGACGGGTTCCCTCAGTTACGTCAAGCCCGCAAAGGTTATATACAGCAAGGGGTCAACATTCACGGTACGCAGGTTCGGTGTGAGCATAATGCATGGGGTTGTTGCAAGGGTGCTTGTCTGCGTAATCCTTACAGAACCCTGAAGGGGGGACCCTATAACCTCCTTATAGACTTCATAATCAGTATATGCCCCTTCAGATTCCCATTATGAAATGGGTGAGGGTACCCCTTACAAAACGTAATTATATATGTGAGTTACCGGCCCGCCCTGTCATAATTAAGAAAAGAAGCCGATGGATCCACCCATTTTATAGCAAAAATGGGTTCCACCCGTAAAACGAGGGTGGGTGCCGGGGGCCATAATTTCTTACGGGGGGGGGTCCCCTTCTAGCCGCCACCAGCCAGGGGGTTGGAACGTGGTACTTCCCATTTCCCCAATACTCCCCAATAACGCAGGCTCTTTACACAGGGCAGTCTAGATAGAAAAAAGATGTGAAGAGCTGCCAAGAAACCAAAAAGGAAAGCATGCCCATGAGCAGCAAGGAATGACATACATATATGTATAATGTATATATATATATTATGCCGATATAAGTATAAATACATGAGTATATATATATAGAGTAAAAAGATGAGATGAGCATGTATGCAAATATATATATATCTTGCTTGGAACGCACAAGTTGAGAATGTCAGCCGCCTGGTACATCATTCTGTGCCATGTCCCGGCAACCCCAACTTCAGCTTAACCTTCCCCATGCCCCCAAAAAAAGAAGAAGTATACCACATAAAGGGAGTATTTAATAATAGGGGGGTTGGGAGGCCTAAGCCCTAAACCCTAAAAAGTGGGGGGGCTGAATATTAGGGGGAGGGGATTAGGCTGAAGCAAGGGCACTGGAAGATGAGGATAAGGAAATTGTCCGTTTTGGGCTTACGAATGTGGGGGTTCCGGATGAATGGGGTTTTATACAGTTCAGGGTTTAGGGTTTAGGTTGAGGGTTTCCCAAAATTAGGGATACCTCTTTGGGGGTGAATTCGGAGACTCCGGTTGAGGCGGCTTCACCGCAATAGCGGCAGTGAGCTCAACTTGGCTAAGGAGACTGATTCTTGCACTGTTGTTTCACTATGTGTGTGGTTGTCCGCGGACCTCTTGTCCCTGCGCGAAGCGAAGCCATGTGCGATGTGCCAGACAGGTGCGCATACTGGCGAAAATGACCTTCGGGAATTTCCACGAACTGCGGTTCCTTTTCATTCCCCAAATATTATACATATGTCTATATAGAGAGTAAGCCTTTGCACCCCCAGATTTTGGAGATGCCCTTATCAAGCAAATTTGCTGGGTGTCTGCAGCTCGATGGCTTTTCATACGTCATAGGGTTCATACAGGGTTCATGTGGGGTTATATTCGTACGCAAGCTTTATTGAGGGTCTAAAAAGGGCCATTCATGATGGCTACTAAGAAAGGTCAGGGTTTAGGGTTTAGGGTTTAGGGTTTTATACAGCCGGCTCAAGGATGGGCTTTTCAACCATAGGGATTACAGGATTATGTAGGGTTTATATAGGGGTTATATTGGGATAATGGAAAAGAAAATGGAAACTACTATAATGGGGTTATATAGGGATATTTTGACAACATGGCATATGATTTGTTATTCTCTGCGCTCTGCGTGGGCCAGGTTGAGTCTGTAAAGTACATTTCATGCTGTCTAGTGCTGCAGGCATATACACCGCATGTTTGCCTTACACATTATATTATCTTCCTATATACGCCAAGATATCCCTATATATCCTTATTTTACATGGCTTTTTAACCTTGCATATTTCTTCCTACCCTTTATATCCCCGTATGCCCATGTCAGTGAATTCTGCATAAAGCACGAAAGGCAGCTGATATCGAGGCCTGCAGCGCATCAGAGCAGCCAGGTGCTGTTTACCATAGGCTCTATCTAACTTTGCATTGTTTATCTAACCTTAATTCATGAAAGAAACCTTGTACAAGCCATATAGACCCCCTATATGTATCTTACATAAAATTCAGAAGTCATGTGGCCGAAGCGCAATCATCCGGCGCACGTGTTCGGATTCCTGGGCTTGACGTGTGCAGGAGCGGCCACAGTCGTTGAGGGTTTGGGGTTTTGGGTTATTTGCTCTGGTGAGAAGATGGCCTAAACAGTCCTTAAGCAGCCATATAACCTTCTGTAAGCCTTTGATAGGCCTTGTAGAACTCTGTATGAACCTTGCAAATGTTCAGAACCCTCAAGCTGCATGTGCATGACAGCAGGATTTGCCGAATCGGCCACTCGACGTTGTCAGCTAAAGGACGGCTTGCCTGGAGTTTGGGGTTTATTTAGGGCTCCAGGTTTAGGGTTTAGGGTTTAGGGCTTAGGGTTTAGGGTTTGGGGTTTAGGGTTTGGGTACTGCCCCCACCCAGTAACAAGGGCTATATATAGTTACATTATAGTTATTATCCATCTCTTACTGAGTGGGGGCGGTACCGAAAGTTTGGGGTTTATTTAGGGCTCCAGATACTCCCTCTACAATCCTTGGTAAAGGTTCCCATAATCCCTCTGTGCGCCCCGTACAATATGTCCCTATGGTCGCTGAGCCCCCCGTTTTAAGAGACGCCCCTGTGATGACAACAAGGTGGTTTTCCACGCGCTAAAGCCAGTTTTACGTAATTCAGTTTGGCCGACGTCGTGACATCGTACCAGACATGATGGGCTTCATAGTGCTTCCAGAAGATGCAGATCTGCAAGCAGCAAAGCAACAAAGGGTTCAGAGTCAGAGTCAGAATTTTGTGTGACCTCGTATACCAGAACGACCTTCCAAGTTGCAAGGTGCATGCATGAGTTCAAGTATCCACAAGTACCCACAGTGATGGCTTCATGGTGACACTGCACCCTAACCACTAGGCCTAAAACCGCACAAAAACCTTAGACCCTAAAATGTGTGAGGACTTTCGTTACGACATCAGCGAGTGCAGTGAGCTTAAAGCCGGAGCGGGTCGTGTCAGAGAGGCCTTCGCTTACGTTGAGCCAGGCCCGGTCAAGGGCAAAGAAAAATGGTTTCTTGACAGGGTTTAGGGTTGAGGGTTTGGAGAATGGACATGAAAATAGAAGCCATTTTCATGGAGAATCAAGTGAAAATCATCCCCTTATTGGGGGTGGGTTGGTGGGGGCACTCATGAATCTGACAACCCTGAATCCTTGAACCATTAAACCCTAAACCCTATATAACCCGATTATAATAGTTTCCATTTTCTTTTCCATTCTCCCTATATTACCCCTCTTGATTTGCAGGCACTTGCAACTCGAGCCTGCCCTCTGTCCAGCTACCGCAGCCGCGGTTGGACCTTCCTTGCGACCAGCCATGTGAAGCAGATCACTACCTCAAGGCCTAGGGGTTGAGGGTTTGGCTTTAGGGTTTAGGGTTGAGGCTTCAGGGTGAGGGTGTCTGGTTTGACAGGGCTTAGGGTTTGCGGTTGAGTGTGCAGTGTAGGGGCTTCTAGAGCCTACTCAGAACTGTGTTCGGAGACAATATCACATCATGGGGCTCAGGGAGCCTATACTTGGATTTTAGGATTCAGGGTTTGGAGATTCAGGGGCAATTATAAGTGGGTTGTAAGTATTTGTGGACCTCCAAGTACATGGGTGCAAAGAGGAAACCAATCTGGTAGTTGATCAAGATTCCTGTTCCTCAAACGGCCATCACGGAAAATACTTTCCCCTTAGCTCATATTATATATGACTTCCCTGAAGAACGTTTAGATCAAGCCCCATATTTCACGGGTGTAACATCCCTTAAAAGCCTGTATGCTCCCTACATAGCCCCTTTAATCCCTTACATCCTAAATCCCAAGCCAAAACCCCTAAATTCTAAAACCTAAATCCTAATCCCTAAACCCTGTAAATTACTATTACATCCCAAAGCATCCGGAAATCCCCATATCTGATGCAAGGTGACAGCTGTCTTCAAAGAGGGAACCTTGCCAGCAGAATCCAGCGATGAACAACCCATACAGTAGTTTCCATTTGCTTTTCCATTATCTCAATATAACCCCAAGATACTATATATCAGTTTCCATTTTTCTCCATTTTCCTATACAAACCAAAGTTACCATATAGTAGTACTGACTTGTCTTTGCAGAGGCTTTGGCTTTAGGGGGGATAGGGGTTTAGAGTTTAGGGTTTTGGGTTTAGGTTTTAGACTTAAGGCTTCAGCAACCCATGGTTGATCTTGAAAATCCTGCATGACCTTAGTAGGATCACGTACCATACTTCCAAGGCGTCAGGTATTACAAGTCATGGGGGACTTTAAGCATCACTCGAAGTATGGCATGCCCAGCGTACAGGCGCGCAACCCAGCAGCTGTTTGAACCTCTTGTTTGCACCTGTCCTGCAGGATCTTTGCTGTGTCTTGGCTTCAGGCAAATAGACTGGCTCCCATCGCTCTAGGCCGCCTCTCCACAAGCAATTTGTGAAGGGATGTCCCGTAAGCTGTTGACAGCCTTGGCCTTTGCCCCGGTAGTGGCTGCAAATACCTGCCCGGGCTCTAAGTCGCTGATTCACGCCAGCTGTCAGGTTGAGGTGACAGCGCAGGCTTCATGCAAGGATGTCATGGCCGAGATGCAAGCTCGAGTAGCTGGCATCAGCACCGGAGCATGGCATGATCCTCACAACAACGGCATCTACAGCCTGGAAGAGCATAGCGATGATGAGCTGGAATTCCAGCGTGTCACAGGCGCAGATGCCTTAAATTAAAGGCTGCCTGAGATGTACTCCTGACACGTGAGCAGTTTCTAGTCACAGTCTAATCACCATCATCCGCATCATAGTGTTTTCAAATGCGCAGGCAACAAGAAGTACACAGACAAGATCAAATTCACCTTCGAGGACGGCACAGGCTTCTGCAAGATCCAAGGCTGCAGCGAGAGTCAGGTGTTCTCGATCGGGGATTTCAGTACCTGGCCATGAATGGAGTTTTGTTTGATTCTGTCAGGGCCCACTGTTGCAGGCAGACCTTCCCTTAGGGGCCACAGGCCTTTTTGAGGCGTAAGAGGCTTGGTATCTCCACTGTTTGCGTTTAAATACCATTGGGCCAGGTACCAACTACTGCAACATGCGGATGCTGTACTGTGGCTCTGCTGACGGCTGCAAGCCGGTGGGGAAGGACTTTGCCATTACCGAAACCAACGTGAGCCCATCCTTTGGAGCATCCAAGAACGCTGGAGACTGTCTGAAGACCGTCAGCTCAGACTTCTTGGTTTCCCCATTCCAGCCGGCTTCTCAGTGCCCACCCACAGATTTTGAGTCCATTCAGGATTTTGACCTGGACGGCTTCATTTCCAAGCGGTGGTACGTTCAACAGCAGATGGAGGTCAAGTACCTTCCCAAGTCCGAGAATCGCTGTGTCTACGCTGAGTACAAGCTTCAGGAGAAGAAAACCTTTTGGCGTTATGATGTTGCTGTGCACAACTATGCAGAGGGTGTGCAGCCCCCTCATACGCCCTATGACTCTGGAAGCAAGCTCTGTGCAAAGTTGGTGGACAAGACGCGCGGGCAGTTGGAGGTAGCTCCTTGCTTTTTGCCTTCCTTTTTGGCTGGCCCTTATTGGGTCCTTGACTATGATGAGGCTGCCGGCTATGCCTTGATTTCTGGCGGGCCTCCCAAGATTGCCACTGATGCAGGCTGCAAAACTGGCTCCTCGACCAACAACGCGGGACTGTGGATTTTCACTCGAAAGCAGACCCGTGACGATGCTCTGGTTGAGAAGGTCAGGACAATTGCGGCCAAGAAAGGCTTTGACCTTTCTGTCCTTAATGATGTGGACCAGAGTGACTGTGAAACAGTCACACAGATGGTTATGTGAGCAAGATGCTTAATCACTAGGCATTTTGCAGTTTGACTTGGACTACCCCTTTGAGGTGGTTTCCAGGTTTGATTTTCAGCGTGCTTGCTTGGGCAACGCATGTGTTACTGAGACAGAGCTGCGACCTGGCAGATGAAAAAGGCATTGTTCATACTTGTATTGTAATTGCTATTATTCTTCTTGTTTCTTCTTGTTGTGCTTTTGTTATGACTATTAGTAACGTTACTCAATTCCGCATTATCATTTGTATTATCAATCGTGTCGTTGCTGTTAGAAGCCGCGTGCACAATTGCAGACTCATCTAGCCCCCTTCCTTGCAGCCTAGGACGGAACCGTCAAGTTCGTCCCGAACTAGATGCCGCCTGCTTCCCCTGCCCGAGAGGGCGCTTCTCTCTTGGTGGCGGTCGATGGGCTCTCAGATGCGCAAAGCATGTATGTATTGTGCATGCTCTGACTGCAACCTTTGATGATGGATGAAGGCTATTTGGATGGCTCTGTCGGTGACTGGGCAAGGCCTCGAATGCCATGAAACTTTTTTTTAAGTGTGACATAAGCCCTGCACCAAAGTTCTGGTAGATTCATTCATAGGGTCCCTTGTGCCCCCCACCCCCTGTAGGCCCCCCCCCAACCTAACTTTAGTCCGTAGCTCACATGCCTTGTTGTGCTACATGTAGCGGCAGGTCTTGGCCAGAGGGCTTGTCAACGTCATGCCTTTATCGTGACGCAGATTCCCGTACGGGACTCAGCTCTGCTCCGTTGACCCTGTGACATTCCATGCTTGCTACTTATAGCTTTATGGGATTTAGTAGCTGCTGATAGCTGGGCATATCACTCTGCTCATAATGCCCCTGGTCTCATGTAGATTCCTCGGCTTAGAAATAAGGTTATAGACCCAGTTGCAAGTAATCACTTACTAAGTCCCATGACCTTTTAAATCCCTGGAGGCTGGACAGTAGGAGGCGGAGCCCGTTTGGCCTGTGTGCGGTTCTCAGCGTGGACGTGGGCTGTCTAGCATAGCAGATGCATCATCTGAAGGTCCTCCACGTGGAGCATACTGGTCAAGTGGAAGCGGTATCTGCTGAGACGCGGTACGACCCTTGGGTAAGGCAAACCTTTACATCCAAGATGGCTTGAACATTGTTAGGGTTATTGTTACTACTATTAGTTATGAGTATCTGTTGTATTTCTAGTATTATCTTGTTCTGACTATTCGTATTACCATGATTAATGATTGATAATAAATATTATGATCCTTGTCATGGATATTATTTCTACTACCATCATCTTACTCTTATGATTATTGCTGTTTTTACATTCTTCAGCTGAGGTCGGGGACCTGGAATCAAAACTTGCCAGATGTTGGCTTACAGGCCATCCTTCATGTCGAAAGGATTTTGGGTATCGACCGTACCGAAGTGGTTCAAAGTCTCGACATGCACAGCGAGTTGTAGATTCTTATAGGGTCAGCCAGGTTCTTTAAGTATCAATAGTCCTTAAACCTAAACCCGAACCCGAAATCCCTACACCTTAATCCACCCAGAACCCTTACACCCAGAACCCCTACACCCAGAACCCCTAAAGCCAGAACCCCTAAACCCAGAACCCCTAAACCCGATAACCTGCAGCTTTTGGCATTCCCGAGTGTCCTGCCCATAGACTGCATGTTTCAATTATGGAGAATCTGACGGCAACGGAAATGGAAAACGACATGGAAGCAATCATCCCTCCTCCTACTCATCCCTACTGTGGGACAGACATGATTACTTCAGAATATCATAGGATGTCGATTAAACCCTACGAAACCCTACCCCTAAACCCTACAATCCCTAAAACCTCGAAAAGCCTTACCCCCAAAGCCCAAAGTCGCAAAAAACCTAAACCCTAACCCCCAAACCCTAGCATTCTGAATCTTGATCCCCAAGCCCTAAACCCTAAACCCTAAACCCCTAAACCCTAAACCCTTAACCCTCAACCCAACAATCCTGGAGAGGTTCCATTCCGTGTCGTGGATGGTTTGGCCTGCCATCCACTCGGCTGGGCGCTCAGTATCTGCAGGGTTTAGGGTTTAGGGTTTGGGGTATATTTCTAAATATAGGGTAATATAGGGTTATATAGGGATAGTGGAAAGAACATGGAAATTACTAGAATGGGGTTGTTTTAGGGTTTAGGGTTCTAGGGTTACGTAGGGATAATGGAAAAGAACATGGAAGCTACTATTGAGGGTTGGGGTTTAGGGATATATTAGTATATTCTGTTATACTCTCTCTCTCTCTCTCTCTCTCTCTCTCTCTCTAAAAAAAAAGAGGTATATATATATAAAAGAGGTATACATATATATATATATACACGTCACGCAATATAGCAGATGGTATAGCTCATATTCGCAAGGCATATCTATCTACACATATGTGTATACAAATCGAGATTTTCTTCACACTCAAATTAAACACCCTTCATCACCTAATGTTAGTTATGGTACCCTATGTATAAGGCCTCTTCTGGGGAATAGTTAAAAATAGATTAGCATAAATAGATCGCATGTCGCACATATTTCAGTATGCTGAAAAGTGAGGTCCCTGCCAGGGCTGTGGTTTAAGGTCTAGGGTTTAGGGCTCGCAGTTCAGATGGGGGCCAGGAGGCAACTGACACACAGCATTCTGCAAGTGGGTACTGCGGTTGTTACTAAAGATCCTGCATGGTCCGAAGTACCTAATACCCTCAAAATGCTAGGGCCATGCAGGATTTTTAGTATCAACAGTGGGGGACTTGGAGGGTTTCAATTTGGTTCAAAGAAAGTCATATACTAGGTCCTGTTATGATTAGACTGGAGGAGTCTGATTGTAGCTACCAGGATCCGTAGCTGCAAGGCTAAGCCCTAAACCCTAAACCTGGTCGCTTGGGGATTTGCAGCTTGGGATTTTGAATTTTGGCCTTTAGCATGTTTGCGATTCACGGGTCCAGTGTTTTGATAGAGCATTCTTGTTACTGGAAATACAAGTTTTGTCTTGATCACTTGTGTTGGTATTTTTAACGGTTATTTGATTTAGGTCATGGGGTACTCTGCCATACTCGACTCAATTACTGGCCTTTCTCACCCCACTTGTTGGTGTGCAACAGTATACAATTTCGACACAACGGTCAACACCATACAAGTCTTGACAGCAGCTTGCCTCTTAGGTAGCGGGAACCACTCACTGGGCGGTGCGGCAGTTCTCGTGCGCAGAGGCGAGTCTGTGAATTGAGCCCTAGTCTAAACTCGTAATATCCCTCAATAGCCCCTCCAAAAATTCCCTATGCAATCCCCTATACAAGCCTTTTTAAGGAGTTTAGACTACAGCCCAAGTGAGCTGAATGTCTCTTCCAATTCCTTGGGCAGCCAGGAACGTGCCCGTTTACCACGAAGACAGCGAATCTGGCGGCTGCTGGAGCCAAGGTTACATGGGTTTTAAGGGAATAGAAATACTAGTGATAATGTTGAGAGTGGTTAGTAATAAGAGGGTTAGGGTTTTGGGCCTCGGGATGAGGGTTATAGTGACAATACCCCAAGAATGGAGAATTAAATGGAAAAGAAATGGCAAATGGAATTGGAACTGGGCTGCTTTCATAATCGGTAGGTCACTGCAACCATTGTGCGCAGGCAGTGATCGTGTACAACAACCTCTTCAACAGGCGTCATAATTGCTTTCCTCCACCTTACCAATAACCGGTACAATTGTACTTTCTTAGGGCCCCCCCAGAACGACTCTTCCACTGATATTTAATCCAGTGGTACTTAGGAGGTGGCTCCCCCCAGAGAAGCGATGAATCCCTAACCCTAAACCCCCTTTTTATGATGGTACTAACCCTAAACCCTAAAGCCTAAGGGCTGTTTTTGTTCGGCTCGAACCAATGCCTTTGTAAAGCAGGCCCCACTTCATTCCGGCAGCTGCGCCGAACAGTGCCTGGACTCTGGGTTTACGAGAGTTCGGGGTTTAGGGATTCACGGTTTTGGGGCTTTAGGTTTCTTCAGGTCGAGGACGCCGGTTTAGGGGCTTTAGGGTTCATAAGGTTGAGACACACCCCTATAATGGAGAATCAATGGAAAAGAATATGGAACAGGAAATGGAAGCGGTTCAGGGTTTAGGGTTTCACTTGCCAGCGTTTAGAAGGGAATGAAGGAAAGGAAGAGAGACTGGAAGCTACCGTTTGGGGCCCAGGGTTTATAGTCCCCCTTCAGTAGATAAAATATGGCTTTGGGTATATTATAACAAGCTTCCCGTATACCCCATATTCTTTGTACTTAAGGGGTATTATACTTCTAGTGGGATTATATAGGCACTACTATAGCGATTCATGCCTTCGGTCACTGTCAGTGATGTCTTGGCACTGCCTCGAAACCCTACACCCTCAACCAAAAACCCTAAACTCTAAGCCCAAACCCCTACAGCCTAAACTCCAAGCCATCCGAAGCTTAATCCCTAAACTCTATGCCCTTGAGGGGTTTGAGCTGGGGCTCCTGAAGGGAGCGAGGCTTTTTCGGCTGACAAATTGTCTTTCGTCGTGCAGGCGTAAAAGCACGAGTGAAAAAAAACAACTCTAAGCCCTAAACCCTAAACTCTAAGCCCTAACCCCTGAACTCTGAACCTTAGACCCTAAACTCCAAACCCTAAACTCCAAACCCAATACCCCAAACCTTGCCCTGTGCGAGGCTCAACTCCCACCATCCCAATCTTCATGGTGACGCGGGAGGATGGCGGCTTGCCCAGTGGCAACCATTGCTTTTAGGGGTTATAAGGGGTTTAGGGTAGGGTTTAGGATTTGGGGCTCAGGGTTTAGGGTTTAGGGCTTTACAGGCTAAAGCTGGGTGCTGACATCCACCTATACAGGGATACATTGGGGTATATAGGGGAAGAAGGAAAGTGGGAACTTCTCCCAGTTAAACTAGGCGGACGGGTCACTTACAACTGTGGGTTTTTGCAACTAGGG